CACAAGTTCCCCCAAATGCACCTCCGCCTGTTTGTAATTCAGAGTTGTAGTTTTTATATATATATATATATATATATATATATATATATATATATATATATATATATATATATGTGTGTGTGTGTGTGTGTGTGTGTGTAGAAAAATAGGAAAGAACACGTTAGGTAAATAATCCGGAGTTCTTTACCATTTTTGTTTTTATTTTTAAAAGTCAGTGCTCCATACAGAAGTAGAGGTTAAATTATAATTATTTAAAAAAAATGTTTCCTTCGCTACATAAGAGTTCTCACGTTTCAAAAACGAGAGTCGAAACCTTCAATATAATTATTAAATTTAAATTGAATTAAAGTAACAAGCCCTGTTTCATCCTCAAGCGAAAATTTAGGTAGATTAAGATTTTAAGATTCGTAAAATGTGTCTGAGTTTGTGCGGTAATAATAAGATGGAAAGATCTTAAACGACGTGTTTCGCCGACGTGACGCTTTATGTTAGAATTCCTCAGATTGAAAAGAAAAAAAAATTAAGGAAAATTCGTTAGGATTTTAGCTGATAAGAGGGGTAATCAAATTTAATTTGTCAGTTTGCATATATATATATATATATATATATATATATATATATATATATATATATATATATGGGCGCGCGTGTGTGTTTGTATTTAACATATAACTAAAATCATATCTGTAAAAGGAAGATATGAATAAAGAAAAAAGCAAACTTATCTTAGTCGACGCGTTTCCTCCTTTGAGGAGCTTTAAATAAAAAATGTAAGGAATTTACTTTGCAACAAGTATTTATAAACAAAATAGAAATGTCATTAGTTTTTCAGTAGTTTTAAATTAAAGAACGCTTATAAATATTCATCAGACTAACTGAAAGACCTCAGTAAATTATGAAGGATCCGCGCTACGATTACAAAGTCAAGAGGATGAATCTTTATTACACGCTTGCTCACCGGTTAATGTCCCAAGAGCCACACACGGCAGAGAGTTACAGAACAATGTCTGTAATATGAAAATTAGAGGACAAAGACATACGTCTTGGGCAATGTGCGAGTGTCAGGAAAATATTTTAACGGTGTGCGTACTGACTGAATATGAGCGTGGATAGGGAAAGAGCATTAATAGAAACGTTTGTGGTTTGAGTACGAATACGTAAAATTTGATTACAGTGGTTTCAAAAGAAAATAAACATACAGATGGATGATAAGACTTCTTTTTTGTCAACGGCTATGAATATTTCTTTGTGTTATGTTAATATTCCTTTTAATGGTGTGTAGTCGTCGCTGACAGAGAGTTTTCATGCTAACGAGATAATTCTGGTTGGGTGTTTACAGATTCTACTACTTGTCATTGACGGATAATCCACGCCCAGCTTCTAACTGGGTCTTTGCTGTGTGTCTTCTTATTGCCCCCGAAATCTGTGTATATATATAGTTATCCTAATCACGTGATTGGCTCCAAACGACATCTTTTCGAATTACGCTTGATAGCTCTCAATGATATATTCATTTGGAGTTCAAATGTACGGATATAGTCGGAAACATAGAACGTTAATCTGCAGTCCAATCAAATTTCAGAAACTACTTATTCAATTTTGGATATTATTTGTTTTTACTGATTTGTATTATTTTACATTTTTTTAGTGTGGCTGTTTCTTTCTTATTTGTGCTTCACCTATTGGTTGTAAAATACATGATTTTATGTCTGTTGAGATGTTGTGAGGTTCCCGCGGGTTGGTGTATGAATCAAGACAAACACAGTTGTAGAGGAAAATACTGGTATATTCATAAAAGCAATTAACAATAGAGTGATTAGTAGAACGAAGGTTGGTTAGTACGAAACAATATCCAAAGTCTATATTCCAACGGTATGTACCGGGTAAGCTTATCTGGACTGCTAACGCTGACTCTCTCTCTGACGCTCTGTCACTCTCTCTCCAGAGCTGACTTATATAAGAGGGACCAGTCCATTACTAGTTAGAAGGTGGGTGCGCCCCAACAATGTCCTATATCAATTAAGAACCGTGTATGAAAAAAAGGCTTTAATTTACCCTAAAATATAACAAACATTTTTAAAATCAATTCCCTCCAAAGAATTCGATAATGTCTCTAAGACGTAAGAAGCTGCTAGATGTGAAAGCGAATCACTAGACTTTGGATAGAGCCAGGAAACCAAGAAGCTGACTGGATCTTTTCTGTGTGTCTGTTTATTGCCCCCGAAATCGATGAATACATAATTATCATGCGATTGGCTCCAAACAAAAGGTTTTTTTTTTTGTTCACGCTGGATATGTTCATTTGGAGTTCAAATGTACGGACTTAGTCGGGAACATAGAACGTGACTGTACAGTCCAACCGAATTCTGTACTTACGATTATGAGGATATAGTGGCTAAGTAAATATTGACCCTAGACTTGAAAAATATAGTATTTTGGAAGTATACACGCTGGAGTAACTCGGGAAGAAACTTTCGTATTGGAATGCACTCTCTTAACAAAATAATACCTCTACGTAATAAGGATAATTCAACTGTGTCTGGACGCCTGCGGGACTTGATTGTAAAGCTCGGAGCAGCCGGCCCTAACAAAAAAGAATTCGTCGATGTGAGCTTAATTCAAGGAGTCTATGTACACCACTCATTTAACCTTTTGCCAGATATTGAAAATAGGTCTAGGTTAATCGGAAAAAAGACTTATGTTATAGGTTTCGCACATATGACGTGGGGACTTGACGCAAAGGAGATATGGGTCTACAGATTCCTGCATAGAATGCCATAGCCGGAACATGTAACATATGAAGAATTTTCCAGAATAATAAAAACGAATATTACGTTCATACTTAAATCCGAAAGAGGCAGTTGAATTTTGTTGGACAGATAGTGAAGAAAGTATGCTTGGAAAATCTGACACTCACAGAACTTATCGATGGCTGCGGTTAAATTGAAACAGTACACAAGGTACCCAGTAAATAGATAAATAGCAAACCAGGGTGTGGGAGGGATGGTAAAGGGTATATATTGTTGAGAGCTGATAAAAACAGGAAGATTTGGAGATCTGTGATCGCCAAGGCCCGAAGTGTCAGAGGATATGAAAGAAGAATTGTATTTAGAACACAATTAACCTTCAATGTGAGTTTTTTTAAGCATTCAACCCCACGCAAGGCGGGAATCCACTAGCACGCAAGGGGTTACAGAGTTAGAGCGAATGCAAAGAGGAGTGATAGAGAAAAGGATGAAGAGAAGGTTAGGGGAGAGATCAGGGCATTTGAAGACGTCGATTGACGTTACATTTGAATAGTTGGAGATTATAGCTATCAGGTAAACAAGAAATGGGGAGGGAGTTCCACAAGCGAGAAATACGAGACATGAATCCATTGGATAAGAAGAGACGGCTACAGTTAACAGTTACGACAGTGAACGTGTGAGAGGGAGATGGCTGCCTAGTTGAACGCTTAAATTCATGAAGTCTGGCAACCAGCGAAAGCAGCTTATCGGAGAAGTTACGGCTGCAGACGAGATGTCAGATCAGGGCCAATTGCATTGCATATCCGTCTTTGGATTTTATCAAGGACCTTGAGACAATTAGAAGAGTCTCCAGACTATATAAGCATACTCTAATCTGGTACACGTTCCTCAAAAACTAAACTACTCTCTATTAATCACCATAGAGATCCTTCCCTGCCCACCATTAGGTCAACTTCTTGAGAGAAACTCCCTGCGTCTGCTCGGTCTCACGTTGACTGCTGACCTGAGATGGAACAAATGCATTGAGTCAATTGCTTCTTCCACTGCGAGGAAAGTTGGCTCTCTGTGCCGCGCCAGGAAATTTTTCTCCCCGGAATCGATACTTCAAATATACAAATCAACCATTCGCCCTTGCATGGTGTATTGCTGCCATATATGGTCTGGGCACCTTCTGTTTACCTCGGAGTTTTTGACAAGATCCAGTGACGGATATGTAATATAATTGGCCCTGATATGTCGTCTCGTCTACAGTCACTCTCTCACAGACGCGTCGTCGCCTCACTCTGTCTTTTCTACAAATACTTTATGGTAATTGCTCCGATGAGCTGCTTTCACTGGTTCCCAGACTCCATGAATTCAAGCACCCTACGAGGCTAGCATCCCGCTCCCACCCTTACACTGTAGAAACTTTTAAATGTAGCCGTCTCTTCTACTCCAATAGCTTCATACCTCGCACCTCTCGCCTGTGGAACACCCTTCCCAATTACTGTTTCGCTGAGAGCTATAATCTCCAACTATTCAAATGTAATGTCAATCGACACCTCCAGTTACCTTGATGTACCCACTATCCTTCTCCTCATCCTTTCTTCTATCACTCCTATCTGCTCTTGCCCCAAATCTTCTGCAACCCCCTGCATCCTAGTGGCTTCACGCCTTGCTCGGGGCGTAATGCTTAAAAAAAATCGTAAGCTACTGAAATATAAAGATGCTATTATTAGGGAGCCGATCTCGTAGAACTGTAATCCATGTTCGTCTACATGAAATAGATTCATCAATAACACTTTGTCGATGAAAATATCTTGTTAATGATAATATTTTACGATTTGTTAATCAAATTATCACGTACAATGTAAACAGGAAGCTGTTTGAGAATGAAAATTCTGAAATCTTTGCTATGCCTAATAATTATGAGGCCATTAAATACTTCGTATATCTCTTTACAGTCAATCATTTTTGAAACAATGGTGCTCGATAAGAGATTTATTGTTAAACCATGCGATAGAAAACTTAATCGTTCATATAATAGATTTTTCGTCTGTGAAGAGAAAAAGCGACTACTTCTGCATTTTCTTTGGTTTTGATAGGAGCCCAGGGGTAATAGATTAACATAATCTGAAATCCCCTTAGAATGCGAATTATAGTGACACATTTTACAGTATGAGATTGAGAACACATCAATTTACCTGACACGCCATAAAATTGTCTTTATTAAGGGCCTGTCAGTTATCATCTGCTACGAGAAACTCTACTGACATGAAATTGAAGTCGATTTTCTTTTTCTTCTTCACCATGTTTCTCCTTCATCTTGTTTCCCCTTCATCTTGTTGTCGTTGTTGCTGTTGTTGTTGTTGTTGTTCTTCTTCTTCTTCTTCTTCTTCTTCTTCTTCTTCCTCTTCTTCTATTTCACTTTCATCTTCTTTTTCTTCTTCGTCTGTATCTTCTTCTACTTCTTCTTATTTTTCTTCTTTTCATGATTCTATTCATGTCCTGCTTATTGATCTTCCTCTTCATGTTTTCTTAATTTTTTTCTTCTCGTTTTACTTCTTCATTTTTTCTTCATTTTTTCTTCTTTTCTTCATCTGCAACTTTTTCATTTTCATTCCCATCTTCTTTTGTATTCACCTTCCTCTTTTTTCTTCTTCATCTTTTCCTTCTTTTTCTTGTCCAACTTGTCTTCATCTTCTTCTTCAACTTCTACTATTATATTTTATCCTCCTTTTTTTCTCCATCAAAATCTTCTCTCATCACGTTTTATTTAACTTCTTACATCTTACTCTGAATGCCATCATTTATTGTTCTCTTTCCTTCAATTTCTTTCATTCTTCCCTTGCCTTTATTCATCGATTTCATATTCTTTCTTTTCAGTTTCCAATCTCATTTTCTTATTATTCACTTTTTCTACCTCATCCAACTCCTCCTACTACAACTCCTTCTCTTTCATTTTCTTCACCTTCTGCTTCTACTTTTTTCTTCTTTTTCTTTTTCTTTTTCTTTCTTCTAATTCTTCTTCTTATTATTATTATTGATCTTATATCAACAGATTATATATAAATTGCTCTATTATTTTTATCATTATTGACAGTTTCATCATCATATTATACCTATTACTTCGTCTTCTTCTTCTTCTTATTATTATTATTATTATTATTATTATTAATAATAATAATAATAGCAGTAGTAGCAGTCGTAGTAGTAGTATATTATACCAGTTAATTCTTTTCGTTTTCTCATTCATTTCATCCCCTCCTTCTTTTTTTCTTCTTTTCCTCCGCTTCTCCATCGTCTCCTACACGCCTTTTATTTCTTCTTCTATTCCGCCACCTCCTCATCTTTCTTGTTTTTATTTCTCCTCTCCGTCCTCTTCCCATTCCTCCTATACTTATTCTTTTCACCATCCTCCACTCCTCACCCGTCTTTTATCATCTTTCCTTCCCCCTCGTCGTTATTATTCTTCTTTCCTCACCCTACTTCTATTCTTTTTACCTCTTCTTCCGCTTCTCCTTCCTCCCTTGTTCTTGATCAATATTTCCCACCTTTCTCCTTCACACCCCAACCCATCTAACAAATCCTCTCTGTCACCCTCTTCTTCCGGAGATGGCAAAGAAGGAAGATTTGTTCTGATCGAACGCTGAAGCCTGTCGGCTCGACCCGACGGAAACCTCATTTCCTTTGCTACGCATTATTGTTTTATCTTTATTTGTCCAATTCTAGAGCGACACTGAATTCCCTAAACGATCAGAATATCGGCGAAGACTTCGATGATGTTTGATTGCGAAGTGAACAGACACAAAAACTACAGGCGGAAATAGAAAAGAGACGAAACATTATTTAATCGTAATACGAGTAACAAATTCGTATACATTACAAATGAAACAGATGAAATTTTCGTGAGAAAATGACTAAAAATTATTAAATCAAATAAGAAGTAAAAAAAAACAGGAACGTGAATAATAAATATATATATATATATATATATATATATATATATATATATATATATATATATATATACATAACATAACTGTAGATAAATGTATGTATAAAAAAGTAATGGTCACATATGGCCCTAAGAAAAAAGTGTGTCTATCCCTGTTATTATGCTGGGTTGCTCATACAAAGAAATCGCTGAATAAGGAACAAACTTGAAACATCATTTTGCGAATGTATCTAAGAGTAACGAATAACCAGTAACGGATACGTTGAAAGCAATGAAAACCACGATTCTTATGTATATGAATGGGAACTGAATACATTTGCCCAGTTTATTTGGATAACATGGAAATCATCTCGTAACCAGATTGTATATACAAAAACTTAATGAAGTTTCAATAAAAGATAAATTCGTTATCATAAGTTTGTCACTTCCTGGTACAGGGAATTAACTAAAATTGAAAAGGGGATAAATATATTCAACGAATATCGAATGATGGGCGAAAAAGTTTTTCTTTGAATTACAATCATGGACCGCACTCAAAGCCATAGACAAACTCTGTCTGACGATCGCTAAAGCGTGAAACCCAGGGTCACAAACTCACATCTATCCAACCAAATATATATATATATATGTTTTTACATGTTAATCATTGTGTTAGTTCTTGTGATCAAAGTCCAAAAGTACAAATATTCGACAAAATTTTCCGTTTGTTAAATTATAGTTCGTGAAGTCTTATTCCTTGGTCAATATAAAGTATGTATATATTTGCATGTGTCTAAAGCATATTTTAACGGTGAGTGTGCATAGGTATTGACTGAATGTGTGTGTGGCTGAGGGAAGCCCATCGGTTGAAGCGTTGTGGTTTGAGTGCTAATAACTGAGATTTGATTATGGTGGTTTCAAAAGAAAATGGACATACAGATGGATGATAAGACTTAATTTTTTAACGGCTATGAATATTTATTTGAGTTGTGTGAATATTCTTTTGAATGATGTGTAGTCGTCACTGAGAGAGAGTTTTCATGCTAACGAGATAATTCTGGTTGGGTGTTTACAGATTCAACCACCTGTCATTGACGGATGATCCACGTCCAGCTGCTAACTGGGTCTTTGCTGTGTGTCTTCTTATTGCCCGCGAAATCGGTGTATATATATAGTTATCTTAATCACGTGATTGGCTCCAAACGACACCTTTTTCGGATTACGCTCGATAGCTCTCAGTGATATGTTCATTTGGAGTTCAAATGTACGGATGTAGTCGGAAACATAGAACGTGACTCTACAGTCCAATCAAATTCCAGAAACCACTTATTTAATTTTGGATATTATTTTTTTTATTGATTTGTATTTTTTTACAGATTTTTTTAGTGATACCAATCCTATTTATGTGTGGTTGTTTCTTTCTTATTTGTGCTTCACCTATTGGTTGTAAAATATAGGATTTTATATCCTATTTCTATTAAGAACCGTGTATGAACAAAAGGCTTTAATTTACCCTAAAATGTAACAAACATTTTTAAAATCAATTCACTCCAAACAAGTCGATAATGTCACTAGGACGTAAGAGGCTGCTAGATGTGAAAGCGAATCACTAGACTTTAGATGGAACCAGGAAACCAACCCAAAACAGGAACCAAGTGATAAACCTCTACTACTCTTCAAATTCCCAGAGAGGAGTGTCACATCTCTTTCTGTTTCTAGGATAGCAGTGTCTACTCGACATGACATGGAAACTAACATCTACTGAGGTATATTCCGATATATAAATATCAAGTGATGTTTAATTTTTGTAAATAATGTTGTACCTGTGTGTAACCGCAAGGAATATCTCCAATATATGTTTAATGAGGTTTAAATTCGAGAGTGCAGCAGTTCCTCGAAGCAATGTTGGTGTCCGAACATCTGCTTACTATGAAAATAACCTTCCCAAAGCAGAAGCTATGATCTGGAACTGGAATTAAATCTGTCATCGAATATAACCTGAGGCCATCATAACTATTCGGGATGTGAAATTATTAAATTGTAAATACATGATACCTCGGGGTATGCATAATTTATAACAAATTTAGTAGAAGAGAAAAAGAAATTGGACATAGAACAGACTGCGTCAGAGGAAGTTTCGCGAATCACCACATAGTTCTTTTAAATAAAAACATCAACCTGAATACTCGAGTTATTTTCTTAAATAGTCTCGTCAGACCTAGGCCTTCATGTGAATGTCTTGAATGACGACAAACTTGTTCAAACATATCTAGAGTGTCAGCGGTATACAATTGTTTTCTTTGATCAATAGTTAAAAATGAGGGAGTCAAGTTTGTGGGTCATTGTAAAATCCATACTTCATTGAATATTGTGAAGTGGCGCTACAGATTAAAAAAAAGTACAATATTATAGAGACTACATCCCTTGAAGACTATCAATAGCAGGAAAACCTAAAATGTAAAACACTTGTTACTCGAAGAGAAAATAATGACATAATCATTTTATTGACTTTTCACGCTACTTCAAACAAAAGGTTAGGAAGGAAACTGCCATCAATACTGAAAAGGGAAAGTAACAGCTACTGGAATTTTTTAGGTATTGATTTTTATAAATATCACCTGACATCGGTACCGGCTACACGATCAATGAGTATTAATGTTTCTTTGAGTGAAACAGTTAATAGTTTCGTTACCATGACAAGATCACAAGGCACCAGGTTTCAGCATTATAATGTCGGTGCATTCTAGACTAGTTTAAACACAGTAATCAAAATATAATTGCAATAATGATATCCTGCGCGGTCGATATTATGAAATGTGTTGGTTAACGTAAACAGCAATGAAACTGACATGACAATGAATCAATAGGCTTATATCTACGAGAATTCTTACCATTTACGAAGAATAATGATATATATTCGCATATAAGTCTTTCTTTCTCTTTCTCTCTTTGTCTCTCTCTCTTTGTCTCTCTCTCTCTATATATATATATATACACACACATAAAAATGAATTTATATCATACATAATTATAGAAAAAAAGTAATAATCTGGTATTATAATTAGATGCAATAATAATATGAAATCGATATCATAATTTGAGACGAAAATAATAAAAATTAAAGAAAATATAATTAAGATATATATATATATATATATATATATATATATATATGTGTGTGTGTGGGGGTGCATGTTTAAATGTAAATAATAGCTAAGTAGATAAGATGAAAGAACTTATTAAATAAAGAAATAATACACAAAATAGGGAAATAAAAAGCAGAATGGAAAATACAAGAAAGAAAAAAGAAAGAAACAAACAAACAAAGGAATAATAAAGAATGAGGAAAGAAAGTCTGAAAGTAATAATAAATAAAGAAAGAAAGAAGTATGGAATAAGAAAGAAAGAAAGAAAGAAAGAAAGAAAGAAAGAAGAAAGAAAGTCAGTAAGAAAATGATAGAAAGAAACAAAAATGAAAGAAAGAATGGAAGTCAAAAAGAAAGACAAAACCAAGAAAGATTTTAGAAAGGAAGAAAAAAAACTAAGAATAAGAAAGAAAGAAAGAAAGAAAGAAAGAAAGAAAGAAAGAAAGAAAGAAAAAACTTAGAATAAGAAAGAAAGAAAGAAAGAATTAGGAAAATGAATAAAGGAAGAAAGAAAAAAAAAATAAAGAAAGAATTAGGAAATAAATAAATAAATAAATAAAGAAAGAAAGAATGAATGAAAGAAAGAAAGAAAGAAAAAAGAAAGAAAAGAATTAGGAAATAAAGACACTAAAATGAGATATAAATCTCGGCAGAAGAAAAAATAGATGGAGAAAATATTTTAAAAACGAAGAGAGAAAGAAATATTGAAGAAATAAAAGAAAAGGAAGCAGATAGAAAGAAAGAAACAAAGAAAGAAAAACAAATAATCAGACATTCAAGAATGAAAGAAACAAAGAAAAAACCAATCTAAAGATGAAACAAATCGAATTTATTCATTCTTTTCGCAATCATTCCGTTATCTCTTTGAAGGGAAGGAACTCACCTATTTCGAACTTTCGTGATGTGTTCCCCTTAAGCTAGTCACTGAATGAAAAAACTTGCAGGCATTGCTAAAAGCAAACAATTTCCAGCTTAAATAAAAAGAAAACGTGAAATTGAGTAAGTGCTTATAATTCAGGAATAAAATTGACGCCTGAATTAGCGTTCCAGCCGTCATTTCTTTTCATATACCAATGCGGAACAAACCAAATCAATTCACTGGAATGCAGGTAATCAATCACGAATGAGATGGCTATTATACGCTAATGATAGGTACATTAATTTTGATTGGGCTTTGTATTGCAATAGGGAGAGCTTGTTCTTTTGTAATCGAAAGCTTTCATTGCAATATGTCATGAGAATAACACTTTACCTCTTTTCTGGCCTAGAAAACTGTGGACAAGCAGATGACAGGAATATATGGTGACAATTTCCTCTTCCATATTAATTTAAAAAAAGAAAAAAACGGAGAAAAAGTAGATGGAGGGAAATGACAAAAAAAGGCTCAGCATGTCTTCACAAGTATCAATCATTCATCTAAAGTCTTTCGATTGTAATATATCCATTTAATCATGATCATCATCATGACCAGTCACATGATCTGATCGAATGGTTCTCTCATAGTTGAGACCAACTCTCTGCTCTGTATTGGTAGATAGTCATCCATGCGTGGTGTCACTTGGGCATAATA